GCCCCGTTGCATTTTGAGCCGGTGACAAGTGCCTCGCTCCCCTCACCCTAGACCTGGGGTTGCCAAAGAGAGCCCCTTCCTGGAATCCAAGCCCCAGTGAGGAGCCCTCCAGCCTGCAGAGAACAACATGCCTGCTTGAATTCTGCTTGAGAGCTGTCCAAGCTCATGTGTGCCGAGGACTCCATGCTGAGCAGCAACTCGGACCCAATAGGTCTTACAGAACCTAGCACCCCATCGCTTGGAAAATCCGATGCTACCATGCACCTGGGAAGGCTTGTGCAAATTTTCTTTCGTTTTTTTTTTTTTTTTTAAGATTTTATTTTATTTATTTGAGAGAGAGAGAAAGTGAGAGAGAGAGAGCATGAGGTGGGGGGAAGGGCAGAGGGAGAGAGAGAAGCAGGACCCTCCACACACACACACTGAGCAGGGAGCCTGACTACACCAGGGACTCCATCCCAGGGCCCTAGGATCATGACCTGAGCCGAAGGCAGTCACTTAACCAACTGAGCCACCCAGGCGCCCCGGTTGTACAAACTTTCTAAGCTCAGTTGCCTCATCTGTAAAATGTAAGGAGGAATGTTTATTGCTTTTCACTTCAAAGATATCTAAGTCAGCCCCAGCGCAGGACCCAAACCCAGGACCTTTGGTGCATCCAGTCCACCAACAATGAGCCCATGCCATGGGTCAGGCAATGTCCTGGGGAGATGGTGATAAACAGCCCGTGAGAAAGGTATTCCCACCCCCCTACCTGCCCCTGCAGGGTTGGTTTGTTTGTTTGTTCAAGATTTTATTTATTTACTTGAGAGAGAGAGAGAGACAGAGACAGAGCACCAGCAGGGGGAGCAGCGGACAGCTGGGAGCCTGATGCGGGACTTGATCCCAGGACCCTGGGGTCATGACCTGAGCTGAAGGAAGACGCCTAACCGACTGAGTCACCCAGGCACCCGCCACTGCAGTTTATATGCACATATTTGAAAGAGCTAGGTCCAAACAGAGACCAAAATCATTCATTCATGCGTTCATTCATTCATTCATTCATTTGGTAATAGGCATCCACTGAAGAGCCGTCTCTACCAGCTGCTTCCAGGCATGTTGGCATCGCACACAATCCCTGGCCTCAAGATCCTTACAACCTGATGGCCAGGTAGACATAGAAAAAGGACTGCAATACAGAGCGAGGTGAGCTCTTTAGAGACAAAGGAATACGGGAATTTACGGCAGGTGGGGGGGTGGGTGGGTTGCAGAGCAGGACCTTGAATTCCGCTCAAGTAGAATGTGCCAGATGGACTAGCACTTTTCAGACAAGGACCTTGTCTTAGTCCATTCAGACCGCTAGAACCCAAAGACCAGAGACTAGGGGGCCAGAGATGCCCAGAGAGAAACAGAGCAACCACAAGACAAGGGCCAAACACCGTCACCTTCTCCAAGGCTTTGCCATTTGCATTCTGGTTCTAGACCCCCCACTATATGTGTCCTTGCCCTAAGCTCCCCTTTCCTTGGTGGGACTTAAGCAAGGCTCCATGCCTCGTAGATACATGACCCAAATCAGAATAGGTCCATCCTGCCCACTCTTGGGAGACCAGTTTCCTCGTTTCAACATCCTTAAAATGGTGAGATATTCCAGATATGCCAGAGCTCTGAGCTGGAGCGAGGAATGTTCTTCCCATGGATAATCTGTCCTGTGCTTCTGGGGGATTTCAGGTGAAATAGCTTTGGGCGTCTGGTCGGAGAACCTAAGCGTTACATGGGAAAATGAGTGTTGACTGAAACAGCCAGTTTAATGAGGAGTTGGGGCCTGAGCATAGCGCCCTGGGCAGCCCAGTTGACATCTCACTTCTCCCTCTGTTGCCTCACTCCTCTTAATCCTAAAGCCTTACTCTAGTCTCTCTCACTTCATAAGACACACTTTCTCACTACCTCCAGGGGGACGCTGCCAGTCCTGCATGCCCCACCCTCTCTCCTTCGCCAGAACTTCTCGAAGGAGCCAGCCACACTCACCACCACCATTTCCTCAACTCCTGTGGAGTTCTCAACCCTCTTCCCACCATTCCATGGAAACAGATGCGCTAGTCCATGGGTTTAATGGAGATGCAGCTTGTGGTTGATTTTGAACTTTCTCTAGCTAAAGTCACCAATGACCTCCTTGTCTTTAAACTATGGTTTGATTCCTGTCTTCATGCCCTTACCACTCAGCTGCGTGGAACCCTTTCTCCTTTAGTGCCTCCACTCTCCCCCAGATACCACTCTTTCTCACCAGCCTCTGGTCTCCCTCACCCCTCCCTCTGCTGGCCTCTTATTTCAGCTCTCTTCTCCCTCTGTACCCTCTCTTGGTTCAGCTCTTCTGAGCCCAAATGCCCCTCCCTGGCTTGTACTGCAACATCTCCAGCCTAAAGTCTTCTCTAAGACTTGGGCCTCTCCTGTCTCATCTGGTCATTTCATCTGAACATTTTTCATACGCTCAGAATCAACAAGTCCCAAAGGAGCCTACCCTCTGCTCCCCAACCTGCCCTTCCTCCCATATTTCCCTGTTTTGTTGGCTGTGACCACTACACGCAATCACCCAGCTCAAAACCCTGGAAATCAATCCCAACTCCTCCCTCTTCCTCATCTTCCATATCTACTGAGTCGCCAAATTGTGTAGCCTCTTATCAGAAATCTCTTTAACCCCAATCCCTGCTCTCCATTCCTCCCACCCCTGTCTCGGTTCAGGCCTTTAGCATTTTTTCCCTTGGATTATGGCAAAATATCCCAACTGACTTTTCTACTTCCAGACGTTTCCAACTTCCATCCCTCCTCTCCATGGCCGCCAGCGTTCTCTTTCTAAAAACAGACCAGAAAGTGCCATTTTCTGCCTACAAGTTTCCAATGGCTCCCCACTGCCAATAGAATAAAATCCAAATTTCTATTTTAGCATACAGGGCCTTTGCTGAGCTGGTCTTACCACACGCCCTCTGCCGCCACTGTTCCTCCTGAAGGCTTTGTCCAGATTCTGTGTTTCTCCCAGTCTCGATTCATGCTGCTTCTTTCCCACTCTGCCATAGCACCTGCAGATCTGCTATGTTTGTGTCCCCCCAGAATTCATGTTAAAATCCTAATTCCCAGGGGTGCTTAGCTGGCTCAGTCAGTGGAGCATGTGACTCTTGATTTCAGGGTTGTAACTTCAAGCCCCAGGCTGGGTGTAGAGATGACTTAAAAATAAAATCTTTAAAAAAATAAAAAATAGGGGCGCCTGGGTGGCTCGGTCGGCCAAGCGATCCCAGGGTTCCAGGAGCAAGCCTTGCGTCGGGCTTCCCGCTCAGAGAGGAGTCTGCTTCTCCCTCTTCCTCTGCCCCTCACCCTGGCTCATGCTCTCTCTCTCTCTCTCCCCCTCTGTCTCTCTCTGTCAAAGAAATAAACAAAATCTTTAAAAAAACAGAAAAACTAAACCCCCAGCCCCCAGTTGGATGGTGTGTAGGGCTGGGGCCTCTGGGAGATGAGTAGGTCCTGAGGGCAGAGCTCTTATGAATGAGATCAGTGTCCTGATAAAATGAGAACCCCATGTAAGGACATGGCAAAAAGACAGATGTTTATGAACCAGGAAGTAGGCTCTCACCATCCACCAGAACTGCTGGCTCCTTGATCTTGAACTTCCCAGCGTCCAGAACAGTGAAATTAATTTTTGTTATTTATAAGCCACCCAGCCTGTGGTATTTTTGTTCTAATCGCCTGAATGGATTGAGACAAGGTCTTTGTCCAAAAAGTGCCCCTCGCTCCCACTCCACACATCAGGGCTCCCTCCACCCAGAGATGAGAGAAGTTGTCCCTTTAATGCACTTGTATCTGTGGGCTCTGGGGATTCCCTGTGCCCTGTCCTGCCTGCTGACTTGGCACTGCCCTTGTGGAGGCTGCTTCCTTCCAATAAGGGTCAGGCCCTGGGAGACCTGGGGTGGAGGCCTGAGGGTGTGTCCTGGACCTCTGGCCTTCGGCCCGCCCAGCAGAGCGCCCCGTCCCCCGCAGGCTGGAAAGGTCACTGAGGTTTCTCTCCACCCTTAGCCTCCTCCTCCCTCCCCACCTCCCACCCCATAAACACATAGCCTGCAGAGGGCTCTCCTTGAAGTCACTGGCTATCCCTCCGAAAATAGGAAGAATCCCCAAAGCAAACTCTAAATGCTTTACCTCCCCATCCTCCCACAGCCCCACCAGCCTGTCCCTGATTGGAGCAAAGACAGTTAGAAACCAGCAAGCATGGAAAATGACACAGCAGATGTTGATTAGAGACCTTCACACCAGAAAGGGAACTGGTCCGTGCAGGGGGCCAAAGAGCAAGGACCTTAACTGACCCAGCGCCACGCCTGCATTCCGGCTTCTTTCTCTTCAGCCCTTCGGGCCTCCAAAGCCTTAGCTGCACAGGAAGATCCTGTCTTCCTTCAAGCAGGCAGAACGTTCACCTCTGCTATTAACAGAACATCCGGTAACATTTTAATTGAAAACTTAACTGTAATTATTCCACCTGTTGACCAGGAATGCGAGCAAACCCAAGACCAACTGTGAGGCAGCAAATAGAGCCACATGTGAAAAGATAGGAGAGAAAGAGGCAAAGGCTGAGGATTAAGGAACCAGGGGAACCCTGGACATTTCTCCTACTTGAAGCCCAAGCACCGCGTCTCTGCCTCACAGGAGACCCCGCGCTGGTTCCCTGAGAGCCCACCTCCCCCCAAAACCTTCCCCGAACCCACGTACACCCGTTCCCCACCACCCGTCTGCCCTCCCCAGTCCTGTACGGGCCCATTGATCCCTGTTTCTTGCTCCAGGCAGACTTGCCGTCAGCAGATTTGAATGATGTGGGTCCAGTCCTCCCCGCATGGGGCTCGGCTGTCCACAAGCCCACGGCAGGGTGTGTAATAGCCTGGGAAGCCACAAGACCCAAACGTGGCGACAATCATTTACAGGAATACTTGGCAGGGAGAACCTTTGTTCTCACATCCTATCAACCCAGATAGATGATGAGGAAGAAAGCAAGATTTGCATGAATGTTTAAGTAAAACACCATCTTCGAAATCATGTGGGCTAAATACAATGTGGTATCCACAACTCGATCCTGGCTCCGGAAAAGGACAGGAGTGGGAACACTAGAGAAATACAAATAAACACTGGAGTTTCGCTGCTGGTAAGGGCACCAGGGTTAACGTCTCAGTTTTGACGAAAGGATCATGGTTCCATAGGATGTTAACAGGGGAACTCTGTCCTCTCATGGCGACTTTTCTATAAACCTAAAATTATTCCAAAACAGTTTAGTTTAAAAAAACAAAAACAAAAACATGTGGCTGCTTCTGGCTTCCTGCCCACCCCCTCGGCCCCCCAGCCCCCAGCAGCACAAATTCACTGTTGGCTCCAACCGAGAGCCTTGGGTGGCAACCGCGAGGAGCCCCACAAGGGTAAGCTGGGACCAGAGGCAGGATGTGTGGTCATGGGCAGGTCTGAGCCAGCTCGAACACAAGGGAATCAGTCTGCAGAACCACAGACAGACCCAAGCCCTGGAATTCCAGATTGTTCCAGATCTACAGGTCATTTGTTCACTTAAAAAATATTTATCATAGCACGCGCCAAGGGCCGTACTAGGCTGCTGGGAGAAGGGGAATGTGGGGGGAAGGGGGCCATGGGGACAAAGATGAGTAAGACCCAGAGGAATACAGTCTCCTCCCTTGAGGAAGCAGTGAGGGAAACAGATGGGCTCCCCACACGGTGACAATACCTGGCAGTGACTGGAGTGTGGGGATGGGCCTGCTGGGACGATCAGGGAAGGCTTCACAGAGGAGGCCGTCTGCTGGGACGATCA